AGAGTGAACGCCATCTTTCGACGAATGGACATATTTCTCTTTGTTCGCACCTTATCACCACGCAAAAGGAAACGTTCATAAAAGACGTCTCAGCTTTTGAATAACCAAATAAAGGGAATTTAGTTCATAAAATAACAAGAACTTATTTAGCCCATTTTTGTTCCAAAGAGGTTTCTTGAATGGAAACAAGGCATGCATATGGCTGTACACTATGGGATCTAGTTAGCAGTCGAGGATTATCGACTACCCATTGAGGATTTCTAACAAAAGGTTGCATTTGCGTAATGTTATGATTTTTCCTATATCTAGCCCGTTTGCCGTTGGAGTTTCGCCTACTCGATGTTTTAATTTTCCGTTTTGTTTTATTATAACAAGCATTCGTTTGCTACTCTATATTATCTAACAGCCATTTGTTTTTAGCCAGATTATTGTAGCTTTCATCGTATTTGAACAGTAACCAGAGTTTAAATAATTAAAATACAAAATTTTAAATGACGTTTTACTTACATCCGTGTACGTTTCCAAAACGATGCACGGTCTCGTTTCTGAGCAGAGGATCTACGTTGAAGTTATTATTTTTTTCGATTCGATTCTGACCTAACCCACATTGTTCTATTTACCACTTTCATATAATGTTCTGCTTGGGACAAACTGAATTATATGGGAAAAAATCACAGTTCCTCTTAAGACGTAAGAACATACGTATTTAAAAAGTCTTGTTTCTATCATAACTGACCAGTTCTTTCTTTGCCAGAAGCTTTGAACCATAAACGAGGTGAACTTTAGGGAAACACTAGACATCCAATAATAGTGGTATCACAAATAGTCTTCGGAGACGAGTTAAAGGGGTGGGCTAGCTCTATACAACGTTTTAACGCTTTTCTTTCTCTTCTTTAACGTTTCTCCCTATCTCTCCTAACGTTTAAGCGGTAGTTTATGTTCCACTTTCCATTATACTTTGCTAGAGTTGAGGCCAAACTGTTACGAAAAACACATTTTTACCAACTTGAAAAACATAAATATTATACACATTGTGTTTGGAGTAAACTAAGACATAATCATTCCTGTGTTGCATCTACACTGAGAAAAACTATGTTTCCTTTCGCAGACAAAAAATACTCCAGTCAATGGAATTATTGTTTGCTTGATTTTTTCGTATGCCTAGGCCATAGGTGAATTGATACTGGTACGTGTAGCACACTTAAATCTCGCTCAAACCTGCCAACTGTAAAATAACCTAGTGCATTCCAATTGTATCCAATCCGACAGTAGTAGGGTAAAAAACTCTGGAAAACAAGAGATTCAAAGAAGGAAACAACCAAAATCCGTTCTTGTTAGGTTTATGAGCCTACATATGCACAAAACGAGGCAAAGAAGAACAGACAGCCGAAATAAGAGTATTGATTGGGCCTTATCTGGAGGTTGGTAGGAGAATAGGTGGTTTACACTCACATGCCAGACACGAATCTCCTGCCTCTGCCATAATGAGCCTGTGATTTCGTTCTAAAAGAAGCTGGCGTCCCTCTAAAACCAACGACAGCAGATTAGTACATGTATGTGCACCTGTATAGGATGGGCGCATTTATGAGACATTTGGATTAAAAAAACAACTCAGTTATCATCTAAAGCGTTAAGAGCAATGTAACGGAAGTACTGTTATTATGTATAGCTTATTGATCTGGTACTTTAAAGAGATACAACATCGTCTGTTTTGCTGCGTCAGAAGCTGCCAAAGAATGACGAATATCGCTATTCGTTCAAAATCAAACTACGATTAAGTTTTTATCTATAGGTTAGCTAACTTAGCTTTCTTAACCTTAATACTTAAGACTTAATCACAAACTTAACGCAACGTATTTGCTTTACGAAATACATATCAAAGGTGAATATAGAGCTGTTCGACTTTACCATGTGACAGCGGAAATGATCTATTTCGTACTTATCTTTGTCTTTGAGATGACTATACGGTATCGCGTAAGCACGATTGTAGGTGATAGCCGCATCCTGATGATGGAAAAAAAATTATGGATCGATGAAAAAGGCAAAGTTTTGATATCTTAAATCGTGTGGAAGTTCTCAACAGTAATCAGCCCTATCGCTGGGCGCGTAGAACCTGATGATTTGTACTTCGTCTTATACACCAATGTGAGCTTTGTCTGAAGTGCTATTGAACATTGTGCAGTTGCAGCTGGAAACGTTAGGAATTATTACAGAGTACCGGACCCGCCATATTTGAAAATAGGACTGTACTATCTCCGTGTAACATGGACCTGTGACGCTCAGCGAATAACTGACCGAAACAACTGATGACCCAAAAACTGGCCGCTTTTATAATTGCTGCATAACGTCAATGCAGTAAAATTGCTTTGAGTTAATGTTTTAAGCTAACAGGCCGTACATAGGCAGCGCCACGGTGCGGCTCGTTCATACTGGAGATTGAACACTGACCCTTGTTTCATGTGGTTGAATTATGCCTAGGTTACGGTTTTAATGAAAACTGATCAAGTTCACTTTTTGTGAGTATCGAGAATCTTCTCTGCTTTGTAGGTAGCGATTAGGAAACGAGATTCATTTGTCGTATTCACGATGGCTCCACGGCAAAGAACTAGTTACAACTTTTTAAACAATTATCGCGCGAATTTCAAACCGTCGTCCGGACGAGTTCTGATTTCATCTGTAACAAGTTGTAAATTGTGTAGCGTTTGATGATGCCGCGCATGTTCTGTTTTGTAGCTTTTGCCAAATGCATACTGTTGGCCACATTGGCATTATTTCTCACGAAGTACTCGTATAGCCTACAATTGAAAATCTGCAAAGTTACATCGCTTGTTTGTTTGTTTTTTTTCTTTTTTTTTTTTTGTTATCTACGCGAATTTGGAGCTTGGGTCGGGCGCAGGCCCTACGAAACTACTAAATCGTCCCATTGAAAGTTTGCTAGCATTTATTAAGCACCATCAACAATGAAGGTAAAACGTCATCCGTTCACGGACTTCACTCACTGAATCGTAAAGTGATGCGCTCGCTATTTACATATCGCCAACTGGGAAAAACATAAACTGCAATTAAGCATCGGATATGTTTTTGCAATGTTCCACTGCTCATAAGGCATATGTATATATATATATATATATATATATATATATAGATATTTTGAAATGGAAGCGTAATAACGATTTTTCTCTATAGAAATAGACGATCATGTACTGGCTGTCAGATGCTTATTAGGTATAAAGCGGTAGTCGTCGTGATAGCGTAGTAGGTAACGTTTTTGCTCCTTAATGGTAGTGATACGTTGTCATCTAGGTTCGAACCCATACGGCATAGACAGGGTTTGTTTCGCGTTAGGAGACAGCCGCCTGTCTGCTGGAATACCTAGCCGCGATATAAAGTTCTTGAAATAATCAACAACTATTCAGGACCATGGTGGTTTGGTGCTAAATATCTATCTGCGTCAGTAAATTTATTTGTTTCTGTTTTATTATAAATATATGATGTTCATTTAAATTCGAATTGGAGGAAATTCACTACCAAAAACGCTGTGAAGCAATTGTGAGCGTATTAGTCGCGAAGACCTTCTATTATGTACGGCCTGTTGGTGTTTTTTGAATTTGTACAACGTTATCGTCGAATGTGAAGGCTAAAAATGTATCGTAATATAATATGTCGCCTAGGGCGGCATCGATCGATCATTATTTCGAATTGTGGCTTCCGTTTTTCGAAATAATCACATCACTATCGAACATGTATTTGTCTATAAAGGGCAAAGCTTTGACTCTTTAACATAGGCCAAGGTCAAGAACGTATAAAACATCAATACGGTAGTTAGAAGCAAGCTATCGTAACGCTAGCTAAATATACGAACAAATTATATTTTGATTTTTGCAACCCATACAAAGTAAATACGCATATCTCATACAAATCGGCGAGTTATCAAAGTTATTAAATAAGTTAATTGCCTACAACGCGATATTTTTTTTTTTTTTCGAACTTCTCCTTTCTCATAGCTAACCACTGTATTTGGATATATATGCCTTATTAATCATATCTATCGTACCGTAGTTTTGTGGAATATAACGTCTCAACAGGACGTTTATTCGTTCCAGAATGGGCACACACAGAGACGTTGTCCTATATTTTTATCATAGGTTTGAAATCGGTTGTTCCATATAGTTCAGTGCTCAGTTGAGATCGCTAACATAAAGATAAAGTAACAATGACATTTATCTATGAAAATTTGCAAGAGCGAAGTGAACGAGAGAAAGCTTTCTAATAACTTATAAAGCAGACAATATATATAAATGTCACCTGACCGCCGAGTCGTACTGTAGAGTCGCTTGTTGTTTACTTAGAAAAGAAGGATGTTTTTTTTTACTGGTCACCTGACGCACGTACCTCGTTCACTTATTGTTCGTAAAACCTAACGCAAACATCGAAGCCACACAGACATCATATTACAAAAAAAAGACGAAGTCTCGCCTTCATGGCATACAAAAAATGCCCACGTCTAGCAGAAAACGAAACAAATATACGTGCGAAACTGATTACTGCAGAGGCACCTCTGCGATTTGCAAAGTGCATTTAGTGATTGCCCCAACGCATCGTGGCTGCGGCTGACGGTGACGTTCACTGTGAAAACTTTCCTACTGACGTCAGAAAGGGCGCGTCGACCGAGAAGATATATCGCGAACATCTTTTAGCAAATCTGGTGATCATCGTCTCCTTGTGATGCGACCAACTGGCGGCCGACATTTCTTCCGCCAGTAAGCTTGTTCTCATTTGCCGCTTCGTTCTGCTGCTACCGCACGAATCGTAAAGGTGTACACCAGAGAGTTTACTCCAGAACATTATCGCTATCCCGCTTTCTGGTGACCTACAGCGGATTTGATGCTTAGCGCCGGCGCACTGCATCCAGTGCCACGAGCAACATCGTTGGTTTCCCCTGCTGCTGGATAGGAGTGCGTGATATGACATTAAGGGAACTGATGCCTGAGCGGGTGGATCTCTCCGCGGAATTTTGCTGCTATCCCGCAGTCACAGTTGACCAATGGCATCATTGTGAGCATCCGAACCGACTTTAGTACGGCAGCAACAGGCTGGTTCTCCTCTCGCCCGGCAGTAACTGAAAGGATGTGAAATGGTACGAGTGTCAGAAAAGGCAGAACCATCGGTTTCTTCTTGAAGACAAAGGACGTTGGCGAGCCAGCACTGGACATCAGTCCGACGCTGTTCAGCCAAAAAAGAAGGTCGGCACAAAGAAGCAGGGGCACCCCAGCAAAAGTGACAAAACATTATACGACAAACGTATTCAAGGACGACGACAAACGTCGAGTTCCATAAATCTAGTTCCGCGCACCGAAAACCGGTTGCTTTGCTTTACCCATCTAATCGCTCCTGAGAGATTGAGCTTAAGCCAGCAGCAGGTCGGCAAGGGGAAGTTTCAGATATCGTTTAACCATTTATGTAGATGCAAGATGGTGTTCATCAATCGGATTAGCAAAATGTCTTGTGCTTTGTTTTGGATATTTATGGCTGCTGCAACACGCGGTTTGGAACGAGCTCAGAAAGGAGCCGGTAGTGAGGCATTTACTGATCTTGAGGGAGCTCTCAGCACAACTGTTCAAGGTAGGAACTGTATTTACGGTTGAACTGTAAGGAAGGAACGCATCTGCCTTAACTAGTAGAAATTCAGCATAATTCAGCTTACTCAAGTAGACAACCCAATTGAAAATCTAAATTGTGATAGTCTGGCAGAACAATCTGAAAGGTATTTTTAATATATAAAATTTCTTCCTCGACTTCATCTTTAACAGGAGTATCCATATTAAAAAAAGTTGCAGCTCCTGAAATGATAACACGTTTGAGTGTTCGTATGTATCAATTAACTCGACACTATGACTTTTTATCCAGTTCATGAAAAATTGATCATATTTATCATTAACGATCATAACGGGAATTGTGTAATTCCCTCAACTTTGTGTCAGTTTCCTTTCAATTTTTAGCTCCATGTTGCTAACAGTCTCCTGGGGAAACTACATCGTTTCAATGTATATCTAATAAAATAAATATATTACTAACCGAAAACGCCTCTTGGATGACGTGGACAATGAATGATGTTTTCATACCGCATGTAAGTTCCAGAAGATAATTTTCATTACTTCCTCAAGGTTCGTTTTGTTTTCTAACAAGGCCCTTTTAAAAAGTTTCGCCTTATCTTCCGCAACAGCAGAAAAGTTATAACATATATAATCAGATACGTTCTTGACAACATTGGGTTGTTAGGTAGTATTATGCCTCAAAAAGCTCTAGTGCCTCAATGAGGAGGTAAGGGTAAAATGGAAATTATGTGAATGGATGCTCTTTATTCTCAACTGCGCTTCGGAGCATCATTCAATGCTATTGAGAACCGTGGCCGTTCGTTCTAATTAAAAATTTATTGAGTTCAAACTTCGTGCGTTAACATGAAGGCACAGCCATACAGTTTCCAAGAAATTACGTCGATTTGAATAAGTGCCGAAAATAGTTAGATGCTAGCGCTGCTGTTACTTTATCTGCGGGGGATAGTATTTGTGTGATATTCGTAACTCACCCTGTTACACTAGACTAGAATGTTCGTACCGAAATGAAAATTTCGTTATATATATATATATATATATATGTTCTATAAATTATGCCAGCTCTCATCTTCACACAACAATATCCGGGTCACACATGTGTGCGCGTGTGTGTGTGTGCGTACGCATCAGTGAACCAAGTTTCTGTATCTGCCGACACAAATAGACCATTGTTTTCTGACCTCATTAAATGATGAAGTTGATTTCGTAATTGTGCTGCTTGATGTTTGATAAAAGCACTATCTTTTTTTTGTAAAATATAATAGTTAAGAGTATATACGACTCTGCAGGCTGGTCTAAAGCCGAGGTAACAAGACGGTTCCTGAAATGGCCGATCTAGAGTTTAAAGAATTATATCATACGTCATGTCACTGGCATTATTCGGTTTGTTATCGGGCCTGGCTTCCGACGATTGGGCTTGTGGGCCGCTAATCGTCTCATTTATATAACCAGGTTATTTACACCTAATGGCTTCACGTCTAGTGGGCCTAGTGGGCGCCTGCTGATCTTAGCGACACATTGTGGTCTAAGTTCGAACCCCGGCATAGACGGACTTCGTTTCATGCTTTCGGGATGCCTAACGGCGACACCGAACGTACAACTCGAAATATAGAGGTTGCCTATACGCAGGATGGAGACAGAACTTATCAGGTTCCTTAGACTCTTGCACTCTAGATGGACGATAGTGAAAGCCAAGCGCAGCGTACAGCATCAGCACATACTCGTCAGACCGGTGGAGTTTTCCAGGCCGCGTCCGTTTGGCTTGCGATCGGCCTCTGGGAATTTTCGATCTCATTTCATCGGACTCAGCTTGTGTGCGTTATAGTAGGACCTAGTAGGCCGCAATCGTTCGGACAGTAGGCCCAGCGAGGCATACCAACCTGCGCTATGGGAAGAAATGGGTTCCTGCGCTGTCAAGAGTCATTGTCAAGTATCATCAAGTGCGGAATCGAATTGTTCAGCTTTAAATTGCTCGCGGTTTTAGCCTTTTCATATCGAGTACACGTAGTCGTTCGCATCAAGTCATTCGGATGACAGCGAACGCGTGTACGCTCGTCCGCAGCCGCACTGCGGGCAGATTCCCACGATGCTGGATGAAAAATGCCTATATCGAAGCTTGTTTTAGATTGTCTGTTTACGTTGAATCGAGGACTTTGGTAAAAACCCCTTGATTACGCCAGAAGTCGAACTGTCCGTAGTTTCCAGGTGAAATACTCTAGAATAGCTATTTACTATGTAGCGGATATAATATCAACCACTAGGTATACATATGCTGCATTCGGCAGTACTATTTTGATTCAACTGAACAGTTAATGACGAAATCTACAAATCAGCTCTGTGTTCGCGCTGCACCCCCAGAGGATAAGCTTCACACTAAATATGTATATACATCTGAGTTAGCTACTTTTCCAACAAAATCCAAATTAGAATTTAACGAAGTGGTTTAACTGATAAATATAAAGCCAATATGGGCGCGTTTAAATGCAGCCGTATTGGCTTTATAGGGCCACAGTTAATCTTCGCACACCATCAGGCACTCGTCACCGTAGCTGTCAAAACCAATTTACTTCAATATCAATATGCCTCTATCTGGATCCTTGCGACGTCTCTGACCCAGCGTCCGCCAATGAAATCAATCGCAGTTGGCATCGGCTAATCGAACGTGCATCGATGTGTTTATGAGTATCGGCCTAATTGTCTTCCTGTGATAGTCGCGTTACAATTATGGCATCATATGAAAACTCGATAATTGCGAGAGGCGTCTCGAGCCAGCCCTCTCGGAAAGGGCCAACATCGTGCTAATAAAGTTCATCGTCAAAGAAAAACTATGGAGGAAAGCATGCTTTGAGAACAATGAAGAAGGGTGCATATCTAGTACTTTATTCCTCAGAAGCCGGTGTATTTATTTTTTACCGCTTTAATTGTCTGGCCTAGAAATACGCGTATGACTTTAGATTGCTGTTAATGTACCCTGTATGCATAAAGTTATTGTACTGGGAGGCGCATACGATGTCTGGCGAAACTGGCTCTATGAAGTACCTCTATCATAGCTTATGACCATATGCGTACGCCAGCGGTATCTAGAAATATTTTTCTCCTGCAATTCGACTCGTTGCAAACCAGAGATGGCCGGCAGATTTTCATACATTTGAGACTAAGCAAAACGCTTATAGTTGATCAGTCAACGTAGATTCCTGTATCAAGTTAGAAATTATGATTTGAAAATTAAAATCTAGTTAATTAATTCGATCAGAAATTTGGTATTATCTGTAAGTGTCGTTTTAGATATGTTCAGAGCAAGAAATTTGCAGATTAATGGTGCCCGTACTGCATAAAGTTACAGTCGTCGACCCCATATCACAGATACCTTGTTATTTTGATACATCAATGATATCAGAAAACTAAGTCTTGGAATTGCCTGATGCATTGCCTCCTTTACCACCGGTGGCTAAATGGTCATTCAAACATTTCAGGACGATGGAAGTTCCCTACGGAAAATGAAGGGGAATGCTTGAGTCCCATACAAGAAGTAGGAATCTGCATAATGGTGCGAAGATGCCCCGGTCTGTTAACAATTCGCGATATCAACCAACTTCGCCGCTTCATCTGTGGATTCGAGGTCCGAAGTATGTCACGCAGTATCATGTGGACAAAATAATATTCTAGAGTTACGGTTGCTTCTTACGAAGAAAAACTAGATCTATTGTTTGATTGACTCATTAACACATATCAAAATGCACTTACCTGCTAACGGCCAAACAATAACATGCGTTCTCTCCTATTGTGAGAGACGCAAACTTAAGAATCTTAATTCGTTCCCACAGGGCAAGACACCACTGTTATGCTGTCCCTACAGTTACCAGAATTCTACGCCAAGCCCAGATCCCGTAGCAACTGCAGCTAAACCGCAATTTGCCAACCAGAAGCCGGACAAAGGTTCACCTCCTGATCAGCAGGAAACAGTAATCTATCCGGGCACCCTACCTAATGACAAGTATCCGAACCGACTGCCGCAACAACCGCGACCGGCTCCCGTTTTTCCTCAGTTTGGTATAGCATCTGTACGACCTGAGCAACCGGCACGACCCGAAGGACAACATCCGCCGAAAGAACGCCAGCCATCTCAGTCTAGACCGCGTCCAAAACCACCATCGCTTCCTCTACCTGCTTCGTCAGTTGACCCTAGTATGGGTAGCATACGTCCGTTCCCTCCTGGCAGACCTGCTAAACCTAACTTCTTGCCACAGACCTGTGGTTTTTCAAACGTTAGTCTTAGTCGTATTGTCGGCGGAAGCGATGCTCAACCTGGAGCATGGCCTTGGATGGTGCGTGGACTTATACAGTACACCGTAGCATTGGCTTTCTGGTGAATATGAATTTTTAAATAGGGATGATGAAATTAGCCATAGTAAGCTATCTTCGCATCAAAATGAAAATGTTATAACTAAGGGCTTTGTCAGAACTATAGCTGAAAGATTCAATTCGATTTCGCACGAAGCTTTACATTGGACCATGACCGCAAGTAAAAAGTTCTCTTATTTTTACATACTTCTCGTTGCTTAGGCAGCAATCTACGTGCGGTACAATGGATTGTCGACGCATACATGTGGAGGAGCTCTGGTCTCCAGCAAACATATTATAACGGCTGCCCATTGCGTCGGAATAGGAACCCGTCAGCAAACGTAAGTTGCCGTGCCCACAAACTTACTTAAACTTTTTATTTGACGTTATACACTGTAGCCACTTTCAAGCATGACCATTTTTAGGAGTGGTATTTACAAAACAATCTAGTAAGAAGAGCTTTATTCAAATAATTAATATTTATCATGGTAAGGAGGTTCATGCGACTTGCAAAAGGTTTCTAATTCCTCTGATGCATAAGATGACATTAGACAATATTCTCGTACGGTTCAAAAAGCAAATGGAGATTTATAGCAGAAGCTTACCTAAACAAAAAAAAATATATGGCATCCCGAAGATCGCCAAGTAGATCGAAGAAGAATAAAGACGAATTGATTTAGCAGTCAGATGTGCTAACATAGTTGACTTCATCAATATCATCTATCTCGCAGCACCAGTATACTTTCAGTACTATGACGTTAAATAGATGATTTTAAACGTTTCTTTCCACTCTATTGTCACAGATTACCACCAAGTATTTTCGTTGTTCGTTTGGGGGATCATAACCTCCAGACGACAAACGATCTACCGCTAGGTTCTACATTTGAAGTCGCAGCAGCAGGGATACGGCGTCATTCCGCCTTCGACCCCCGAACCTATCTCAACGACATTGCTCTGCTACTCTTAACAGCTGAAGTACCGTTCACGCGCTATATACAACCTGTCTGCTTACCTTACGAAGCGGTGCCCGAAAACATAGCTGGACACTACGGATTCGTAACAGGATGGGGTTACACGAAATTTGGTAAGGCGTTGTAACAGCCGGACAAAGGGAACTCCGCTTTATTAACAAGCAAGTTATTGGCAAACCCTGGCTACCATTGATTGGCAATGATTTAGCTTAACAGCTTGCGTAGTCGTCCTGTCAGCATATTGGGCGTACTTTTTATGAAATAGACATTCAATGACAGGTAGTTATTGAATTTCGACGGTCGAGCTGTGGAAAGTATGAAGCAGAAAAAAAACCTTATTATTTATACGTACATTTACAAGCATTTCTGACTACAAATAAAAATGACAAGCTTTTGAATTCTAACAAATGAGTTCGTTTACGAAATACGTAGCTTGTGTGTTGGTAGGTAAACGTAACTACTGTATGCTGTGGCGCTAGGCGTTAGAGATTGTAATTTACCAGGGGAACACATCCAATTATTATTCAATAATATATTTGAACGGTGTTTAAATGTTCCAGCCAGTTGTGTTCCATTATCTAACGTTATACCGTTCATATACGCTAAATCCTGTCATTGTTAATTGATGGCTAAGCCCATCTGATTCTCATGGTACTGTTCGCCACAGGAAGAGGGTCTGGAAGTGATGTTCTTCAGCAGGCCCAGGTGAAGATCTGGAGCCAGAAGGAGTGTGCTGCGGCCTTTCAGAAGGAGGTAACAATATCCGAAGAATATATTTGCGCTGGAGATGGATTAGGCCTACAGGATTCTTGCCAGGTATGAGTATTTCTGGGAATCAATAATAAGGTCGCAATGGTTTGATCTTTGCCTGTTGACCTATTATATGAACGTTTCGAAAACGCTTTTCAATTTCATGCAGCCTAAAATGATAGTCATGCCGTACAATTCGAAATTTACTTAATGAGAAGGTTGTGACACATTAAATTTGATATAAAGCAGCAACGACCACGAATATGAGCGAGACAGAGAACGAAAAAGAAGATAGTTATCGTATCGAAAAGTATAATTATGTCTATAAAAGAAATATTACGATATTAAGCGATAAGGTCTGGTTTATTTCGTATGACCTTAAGCTACTAACAAACGTATCTTCATTCCTTGCTATTGTTATTAAAGCAATGTTACAGTATGCCCGTAATCACATACTATGGTAAGCTTTTTTTCTTCAAATACCTAGTTACTTAGAAAGGTCATCTCAGATTTTTAATGTGCTGCTCCTTGACATGCCTTCTCTACCATAACCGTGCGGCATCCTAGGTGCTGACAGCTTATGTTTTTCCTGATTTTGGCTTTCTGCTATTATTCGCTTATTTGTTACTACAGTTTTTTTAACAGAGGCCCTGTTTATTTTTCATAAATGCTAAGTGTCGATTATTAGTAAACTTGAATGTATCTATATTGTTTCTAATTTGTTATTTAAAAAAAAAAACATTTTTTTTCACGAAAGCTGCCGGCTATTTTCTCGTGTCTTGGAACCTAGACCTACCTCCCTCATATCCCCTCTGATATTTTTTCGTTAGGGAGATTCCGGTGGTCCGTTGGTATTTTTCGATGACGACCGATTCTACCTGATAGGGATCGTTTCATTTGGTAAACGATGTGCAACACCGGGATATCCAGGAGCTTACACACGGATCACTAAATACCTCGACTGGCTTAATCTTAACTTTTGAAGCCGACTGTTCGGCCACAACCCGATTACTCGTCTTAACAAATGCTCAAGATGTCTACCACCATACCACTGTCAAGCCAGAGCTGGTTATAAACAAGTTATTGTAGGAAAGCGTATTTATTTATCGTACCTACTATAGTATATAGGTAAGCCTCAGGAACATTGTAAATAGAAAATCGAGCCTGATGGAAGTGAAGGTTTGTTATGCTCGTCGACCGAGGCAGAGCCTAACTTGAAAAAAATACATTTACTTCATTGTTTTTTGTCGATGTCTTAACTAACTGAATTCGTTTTTGTTTATGCTGCAATGTGACCGCCCTGTCTCATTAAAACGCTCATTGTTCGGTGTGCTGTCTTGAAAATAGCGATGAGAACTATCAGACAATGCTAGCATATGGAATCAATCATAACGTTCAGTCATTACTCTGTAGCATTAATTATCGCTTTCATGTTTGTAAATATAATGTATCTGTAGATATAAACGTAATAAAAATGCATTGTTAAATGCTAACATTATCGTCTATGTCGTTCTTGAGAAAGTATACATTTAGATAAGTTTATTTACCATTGCCTTCTTCTTGAACCTTACGTCTTGTCCCATGCCTAGATAAGGCACCATTGTCTGTCCAAATTACCTTTACCGAAACAATAATGGTCATAATAATCACAGGATAATAATATTACTCCATATGATGTTATGATACACTAATTTTGCTTTCAATCACCCCTATCAAAAATCTCGTCGTCCCATCAATGTAAGCTACAATGTGAATGTAGCCCCTTTTCCGGGTCGGATCATTCATTCTGTCTTACCGTATTGTTATTACAATGCCTATAAGGTGTTTATCCTCGGTGACGACGAAATACATACTAAACAATAAGTAGCTATCACTCAATTCATACAGTATCTGCTTATATTCAGCCATAACATTACACATACCAGGACGTTAATCAACGCGATTCATTTATCTTCACCGCTTAACCTGCTCTAGTTACTAAGTTATCTTTATTCAAGTAACCTGCGATGGTCCTTCAATCATGCTAGAATTCCGAAGAAGACCTACCACATCCCTGTGCCAGTCATCACACATTCTTATTGCTATTAGATGATCATTGTTCCCGCGGACTCGTTCGCCCCTTGCGATCATTTGGTGACATTAAGTTTGGTTACATCCTATTTTATTTTCCAGAGTTTCATATGGATGTTAAGGGGTTTGAGAGGCCAGTCAGGTAAGCAATATGAAGACACCGACAATGCTAAAAAAACTTCCACCATTACCTGGAGCCATTCAAGTATAACATCATGTATTCCATACCATGGCAGAAAATAAGAAATGTCTTTTCTTTTCTAAAGTCTAGCTGTAAGCCTCTTAAAGCTACTTTCATGCCTTTGAAGCTTAAAAAATTACGGTATTTTACGGGTTCGTAGCCTTTGTCAAAAATCGTATAAAGCGACTCGTCGAAGTTCCTCCCATCTACATAAAAAAAAAACCTATAGAAAAAGTATTTTGTATTTTTAGCATGGAAATGATTTTTCCTGGACATGTCGTGTTTATTATAGTGTTTGCTTGTCAAATCAAGTCTATATATGAAATATCTCAAAACTTTTTAAAACCGCTCGCAAAATGATCGTGACGTACACCGACAGGTTGAATCGTATGGATACAGTGAAACGAACTGGTACAGATACTTGGTATTACAATAAATGGTTCTCGGGTATTTCGGGCGTAACGTAGAGTGAGTTCTACGTAAGCGGCGCGACTTGCTAAAAGCCATTTCCCCTGGAACAAGCACAACGAAGCGTTGGATCTGACCCTAACAAACCGAAAACATAGACTGAGAAAATAGACCGTCTAATAACCCAAGAAGAATGGCTTAGTGCGGGGTTCAACGGCAATTCAGGGGGGTCGCGCTCATGTAAAACGGTCGAGATTGGTACGCATCAGAGATTCAGGACCGCTTTCCACACTGAAAACTTAAGCCGCCCAAGGAATTTCAACTTCCTAAAATCTGAAACGAAACTCTTTGTAGGCTAAGCAAGCGTTATCGACGCAAAGGGATTAAAGCTCGATATGAAAGTTCTAGTAATTCTAGCAGACATACGAACGGACAGTCAAATTGGTCCCTTTAGCTAATTTTATCGCTTCAAGTTATATCAGAAGTTAATTTGTACAGTCCAGGACTACCTGTTGGAGATACCCGACACGCTAGAGAGGTGATTCGTGGTCTGACAGAATGCGACGGGTCTCGATAATGGGCTGCCCGCATCTTGGGGCAAAGTAGCAGTTTTTGGCTGCCGCGTTAGCACAGCCAGAAAGTGCGGCTACGCGTTGCTGCAGGACGATCCAAATGCGAAAAGAAAGTACTATTCACAAAGCAAGAGCTTTCATTTGGAGGCTACTTCAGTGAAAGGGTGAGCATGGACTCTATCAGACACGAACCCCTGGGAATGCAATATGTAACGGCCCCTAACCGGGTGCGAGCAGCAGTGGCTCGCTGTAGTTGTTCGGGAAAATTCAGTCGATTACCTTGCCCATAACAACAGCTTAAATCGTCCATAGAGGTGACTCCTGATCGAGATGTTGTCAAAGAGGCGCTTACTTAAGTGAGCCACGATGCAGTACGGTAGAAGCGCGAGACGTAAGAAGATGGTGGTCGCAAAAAGAATGTCCATGCCGCTAACGTTGGTCGACCAAGTCGTACTAGTACAGATAGATAGTACATAGATGAATATTGGCTAATCAGCGCATAACGTAAAGCTCGATCTTTGTTCGACCAAAGGCAAATCTATAATCTTCTGCTCGTTTACTGATTATGAGCGCTTAATTTACAATGTCACCGTTGAGGGATGACATTTCCCGACGACTAGTGCCTTAGCCATTATTTTTCGTGCAGTTGATTTGGAAATCACAACATTGCTAGCGTACTGGCTCCCTGTTGTTGGAAACAAAAGCGGCCTTGAGGCCGGTGGGAATGTAAGTCGTCCGATATCAATTGCACTCGGCCATGTCGACGTCCATCAGTGGGAGTGCCCGCCTCCACCTTCTTCTCCATCAACGATAAAAGCTCAACAAAACTTCTCCAGTTTAAATGGACGGATGCCCAGAGGGAAGGCTTCCGCATCCGAACAGTTTACGCATATACGTAGGGTCTCCGAAAATCGACAACATGTTACGAACTAGTCCGCGTACCTTCATTGCGCATGGAGCTTTAAATGGCTTACGGTGTAAAAATGACGGTCATTTGTTTTGTTCTCAATCAACAGATGTCCAAAAAGATGTTGACACTGGCTGTCTATCGTTGATTGGCTACGATATTTCTTACCTTTGGGCAGTTTCAGTCGAATTCAAAACTTAACGTACCTATTTAACGTGTTTGGCTTTAGCGTAACCAGATGACACATGCCAAAAACTAGCACCGTTAACTTAAATTCAAATAAAAAAAAAAATCGAACATAAGCTACCGCTTGTCTTAGATCGATACCGCAGCGCCTACACTTCACATAGAGTGGAATACGCCTTTTCAAATGTAATTAGACCGTCATCAGCGCATTATATCTTACGAAATATAAAATAATATAACAATGTAACTTTTAGCTTAAGATACCAATAAAACTCACCGTAAACGAGGTAGAACGCTCTATTTTACAATACAGCCTCTTTATAAAGTTATTTTAATTACAATTTGATGATTGTCATAAAAACCCGCCAGTCAGCACGCGCGAGTGGCTGTAACTTACCACGTAGAAACATCTCCATTTTCTATGGATGCTATCACCTAGTGCATCATTGAAAGGACTGAGCAGATTTTTTTTTTATCCCATTCGTGTTACAAAACAGGGATCTATAATTTGCTATTTCTGCTGTGTTTTTTTTTGTAAAATTTGAAGATTCTTGTAAACACAAACTATACTTTAACCTGATCGCCAAGTCAATGGCGTCACTAAGATGCGTATACGCGTCAACGACGTGACGTGCATAGACAAACGCAAAGATATAGCTACGTTGACAGAATTTCTCACAGACACTGTTACAGCGTAAGGCCCTAAACGGATAAACTATTTTCGATAAAAAATTAACCAAACAGACCATTCATAAAGCACCGCTTTGATTTGAGCATCTATAAACATAACGTAAACAAACACTTCATGTATATATATATATATATAGTTTAATCACTAATCCACGCGGTGATGACAAAACACCTTTGAAGTGACGCAAATCGAGCAGGTGATGAAGTTTTCGACATTATATTAATCTGTGTTTTTAAATTATCTTTAGTTTGATTAATTTTTAATATGTTGCTGTATGCAAGCCTTTTTTTTTCTACCTCAAACCCGTTACTGGTAGAAGCAGTATAATACACTGTCGCAAAATACCGGTAGAAATTTAAGCTTCACTCACAAATGTATGTGTTCGGCAAAATGATGACTGGCGGTTTCTCTTGCCATACAAACCTTGAACTATTCCAATGCAACTCCAGGAATGAGTAACGTTGGTTGACGAAAAAAAAAGCTATGACATACGCTGTGAAACACGACGGTCCGTTCCGTCGTTACTAGAATAACTGGTAGTTGTACGAGAAATGCGCTACAAAATGTAAATGTTTGACAATCTGCGAAAATTTCCAGCGACAAACTACTGTTGACTAGAAAAACAAGCAGGTTTTGAGAGCTACGACCAAGTTGATGTGTGAATCAAAACAAGAAACAGATCAGACGGACCAACGATCAAATTTGACATGGGCGCCTGTTTTGCTGTCCTGATACGATTACTACCTACACACAATAGGATGACCGCCATCAATTGGTCGCACGCAGATCCTGGCGTTCGTGTTTCGTTCGCAGTACACTAAAAATAGAATTATTTTTATGATCAAAATAGGATTCGCAATGCATATTGCGAACGTGGCCTGGGGGTGCTTTTCCGCATTTGCCTTATATATATATATATATATATATATATATATATATATATATATATATATATATAGATAACATCGCTTCTGCAACAGTAGCGGCCAAACAATATCCGATTGTCGCTAATAGTAGAACAGAATAGTATACAATCAATCCATTGTATTATGTACAGCATAAACTAGCATTAGTGTTAGTTTAATCGTAAAGCGGTGACAAGGATCCAAGTGCAGAAATCTTCATCAAGTGATGGTCACATCAGCTTCACAAACGCTGTCAACATCATCACCTTTACAGTCTTCTCGTCTCGTTCGACACATTTCTAGCTGCCTCATACGCCAGTAGTTATCTAGCCAGCGGCGTGTGTTACAATATAATAACAATACTGATACAATCGAACGCACGGAAGATACCGGTCGGTCCGTATTGGCCAACGTTCGGCGCTCACGAACCTGTTGATTGGATGAATGACGATGAAAGGTATAGCGAAATAACCATGATGGTTACCGTTTGCTTGGCGACACACGTATCCACAGAGCGACCGAAATGGGAAACCAGTTGTCAGGGTAGACCGTGGCACCC